AAGAGCGTCCTGCTGGTACTCAGCTTCTCTCTGTTTCAACAAGTCAGAATGATATTCGCATATCTCTTCCTCAAAGTACACAACATGTTCAGCCGATGTTGCATCCACAGAATATGGGCTCAGACTCTATTAACAGTTTTAGCAACCTTCCAGTTCCACAAAAATCAGAATCAGGTATGCAGGGTCAGTGGCATTCCCAGTCACAAGAAAATGGTCAGGTGTCTTGTAGTATGTCGAATGAACGACATATTCTTGAGGATTTTCGTCAAAGAACGTCCGGAATGGATGAAGCTCGACCCAACAATCTGTTTTCGGAAGGGTCCATTGTTGGACAAGGCAATGCTTCTGGTACTGCATCTGAATCTCACAATTCACAAAATCCTAGTGGTCCCACATGTAGATATGGAAGCATAAATCAAGATCCCAGGTTCAAAAATCAAAAGAGATGGCTCCTATTTCTGCGTCATGCACGCTCCTGCAAAGCGTCTGAAGGGAAGTGCCCAGACAAGAACTGCATTACTGTTCAGGAGTTATGGAGACACATGGATAGTTGTAATGTATCTCGATGCCAGTATCCTCGTTGCCATTCCTCAAAGTCATTGATTAATCACCACAAGAATTGCAAGGATTCCCGGTGCCCTGTCTGTATTCCTGTGAAAACCTACTTGCAGCATCAGGCAAATGCACGTGTCGTTGCCCGTTTAAGAAATGGAAACGGAGCAGCAGTCACTGTAAACGTAGGTGGAATATCAAATGATTCAGGACATGTATCTGCTGGATCAATTTCTGCTACTTCACCTAGTGCTGATATCTCAGACAATCTGCAACCTTCATTAAAACGATTGAAGGTAGAGCAGTCTTCTCAACCTGTTGCTTCTGAAACACAAAATTGCAAAAGCTCAGTTCTTGCTGTAAGAGAGGCACAAGCCTCGCATGATGCTGAGAGAATGGATTACAGGCCTAACGATGTATGTGCACCATCGAAGCCTGAGACCTTGGAAGTGAAAGTTGAAGTTCCTGATGTTCCTGTTCAAGCAGGACCTGGTCTCAAAGAGACAAAATGCGGTATCACTGAGAATATTCCCAAGCAAAGGCTTGTCAGTGAACCTGTTAAACATGACAAGCCTGTTGGATCACTGAAGCAAGAAGTTACCAAAACTGAGAAGGAAACTGTAGCACCTAAGAAAGAAAATCTGGTGGAGTCTCCTGAACCTGCATCAAAGTCTGGAAAACCAAAGATAAAGGGGGTTTCGCTAACTGAATTGTTCACTCCGGAGCAAGTAAAGGAACATATTCGTGGTCTTCGACAGTGGGTTGGCCAGGTTTGCAATTTCTTTTATTTGGAACATGTATTTAGTGCTCATTCTTTATGTGTGCTGTTTATGGGCGTTGCTTTCTTTTTTATTTAATCCACTTTCATGTAAAAGGATAATATTAACTACTGATATAAGCTTGATTGAGTTGTTTCTCGAAACTTGCTCATCCGTAATGTTTCCAAGTTATTGATTGTTGATAAATCCGTTGTCCTTTTATTTTGGTGTCTGTGCAGAGTAAAGCCAAAGCAGAAAAGAATCAGGCGATGGAGCATTCAATGAGTGAGAATTCTTGCCAATTATGTGCAGTGGAGAAGCTTACCTTTGAGCCACCACCTATTTATTGTACCCCTTGTGGTAGCCGTATCAAGAGAAATGCCAATTACTACACTGTCGGAGCTGGTGACACTCGTCATTGCTTTTGCATTCCCTGTTATAATGATTCCCGTGGAGACACCATACTGGCGGAAGGGACAACTATACCTAAGGCCAGACTCGAGAAAAAGAAAAATGATGAAGAGACTGAAGAATGGGTAAGCATGTTCAATCGGTTGTAGTGTCTTTGACTTCGTTTATATATGTGTTTCTGAATATTTCCTTGTTTCGTTTTTTCTCTTTGTGATTACGTGCAGTGGGTCCAATGTGATAAATGTGAAGCCTGGCAGCATCAAATCTGTGCTTTGTTTAATGGGCGACGGAATGATGGGGGCCAGGCTGAATATACCTGCCCGTATTGCTATATTGCAGAGGTGGAACGCGGTGAGAGAAAGCCTTTACCTCTGAGCGCTGTTCTTGGAGCAAAAGATCTGCCTAGCACAATACTCAGTGACCATATAGAGCACCGGTTATTTAGGAGATTAAAGCAGGAAAGAATGGAGAGAGCCAGGGTTCAAGGGAAAAGTTATGATGAGGTAATCCGTTGATGTAACTTTGAAGGTTTTATGCTGTTGATATGATATATCACTTGCCATTATTCATCTATTTTGGTTTGCTAAAGGGCTTTGATAATAGAAAACTGTTGGCTGTGGCCTTCTTATCGATTCTCATCGTTTTGTTGGACTGACTGACAGATTCCTACTGCTGAAGCCCTTGTGGTTAGAGTTGTTTCATCTGTTGACAAGAAGCTGGAAGTCAAATCCCGCTTCCTTGAAATTTTTCGGGAAGATAATTATCCAACAGAATTTCCATACAAGTCCAAGGTGAGAATGATCATGTGCGCTTACTTGTATCTTTTATGTTGTACCTATGCAATCTTTTTTCTCCCCCAGATTCCATCTATTTACATTATGCATGACAATTTTCAGCTTCTCGTTTATTTTGCCAGGTAGTTCTGTTGTTCCAGAAGATTGAAGGTGTAGAAGTCTGCTTGTTTGGAATGTATGTCCAAGAATTTGGATCTGAATCTTCATTCCCCAATCAACGCCGTGTTTATCTATCATATTTGGATTCTGTAAAGTACTTCAGACCTGACATTAAAGCTGTTAGTGGGGAGGCTCTTCGTACTTTTGTTTACCACGAAATTCTGGTAAGTCCTGGTCTTTATAAATCCATTCGGGTTTCTACATTATCTGGAGTTTTCCGGTGGTGAGGATCGATCCTGTTTTCAGATTGGATACCTTGAATACTGCAAGTTGCGTGGTTTTACTAGCTGTTACATATGGGCTTGCCCCCCTTTGAAGGGAGAGGACTATATCCTATATTGTCATCCCGAAATTCAGAAGACACCAAAGTCTGACAAATTACGAGAGTGGTCAGTCCAGTTTTCTTTTGTTCATATACTTTTTACTTATATAATATGTGTAATTTTTTACATCCTCCTATTGCTTTTGTTCTTATCAGGTACTTAGCAATGTTAAGGAAAGCTGCAAAGGATAGCATTGTTGTGGAAACCACAAATCTATATGATCATTTTTTCATTCAAACCGGTGAATGTAGAGCTAAGGTTACAGCGGCTAGGCTCCCATATTTTGATGGTGACTACTGGCCAGGTGCCGCCGAGGATCTTATACACCAAATGAGCCAAGAAGATGATGGCAAAAAGGGCAATAAGAAAGGAACACTCAAGAAAACCATCACAAAAAGGGCTCTAAAAGCATCTGGGCAGTCTGATCTTTCTGGAAATGCATCCAAGGATGTGTTATTAATGCATAAAGTAATTGTTCATTCTATCGGTTATTCCTTTCCGTGTAGATTTGCAAAGTTGTTTTATCCTTTTATTTTTTTTATTTTTGCTGCTTCTTTTGCTAAATTTGTCGTTTTTCCTTTAATTTTACTCGCCTGGTTTGTTACAGCTCGGTGAGACCATTTACCCGATGAAGGAAGATTTTATCATGGTTCACTTGCAGCATTGTTGCACTCATTGTTGTGTACTGATGGTATCTGGAAACCGTTGGGTCTGCAGCCAGTGCAAAAATTTCCAGATATGCGATAAGTAAGAATTCTTCCATTACGTTTTACTTATTGGTGGATTTTTTTAGCGCCTGTTTACATGACTTGTCTATGTGACGTCGAAACTGAGGTTGTATCTTTTATTCATAAACAATGGAAGGTGACAGACGAGACTAAATGTGTTAGAACTTAGAACTCTGCAGATGCTTGACGGATTGTCATTATACATGTCCTATTTCCTGTTAGAACTCTACAGTAGCTGAATTTTCATCTACCTTTCAGGTGCTATGACTTGGAACAGAAACGCGAGGACAGAGAAAGACATCCTATTAATCACAAGGATAAACACACACTGTATCGTGTGAGTTTCTTGTGCTTGTTTTTGGTTAAATGATTTGAGAAAATTTCTCTGACTTTTAGTTTTATCTGTCACTAAACCGGCTTATGGCTTTATTCCGCCGTTTCTCATTATATGTCGGTATTTCATTTTGCAGGTTGAGATTACCGGTGTTCTTGCAGATACCAAGGACAAAGATGAGATACTTGAAAGCGAGTTTTTTGATACAAGGCAAGCATTCCTCAGTCTTTGTCAAGGAAACCATTATCAGTATGATACACTGAGGCGGGCAAAACATTCTTCGATGATGGTTCTTTATCATTTACATAATCCGACTGCTCCTGCCTTTGTCATGACTTGCGTTGTCTGTCACCTCGATATCGAAGCTGGTCAAGGCTGGAGATGTGAGGTTTGCCCTGACTATGACGTGTGTAACGTCTGTTACAACAAAGATGGCGGAATTAATCATCCTCATAAGCTGACAAACCATCCATCTCTTGCTGATCAAAACGCTCAGAACAAAGAAGCTAGGCAATTGCGGGTCTTGCAGGTATTTTGATGTTTTTTTGTCTTGCTTGCTGTCTTTAGTATTGTTCCCATTCTCTGTTATTGTTTTAACATTATTTTTTTTAATTAAACTGCAGCTTAGGAAAATGCTCGATCTTCTGGTACATGCATCACAATGCCGTTCCCCACTTTGCCAATATCCAAACTGCCGGAAAGTGAAGGGGCTATTCAGACATGGTATACAATGCAAAGTACGTGCTTCAGGAGGTTGTGTTCTTTGCAAGAAAATGTGGTATCTCCTGCAACTCCATGCTCGGGCCTGCAAAGAATCCGCCTGTCATGTCCCTCGTTGCAGGTAATAAAACCTTCATCAACCTCCTTATCCTTTTTTTTTCTGCTTCGATAGATTCTATCTCAACATAATCGGAAATGCCTCCTCCTTGTTTCCTCAAGTTAATGATTTATCTCGTCTCGTGTCATGGATGAACTGCTGTACATGAAATATGTAAACATTTGATTTAGATGGCGAACATTCGGTACACATGTTTTTGTGTTTGATCATTTGTGAAAATTGTTGTTTGAGCAGAGATCTGAAGGAGCATCTGAGAAGGTTACAGCAGCAATCAGATTCACGGCGAAGAGCTGCCGTGATGGAGATGATGAGACAAAGAGCTGCAGAAGTCGCTGGGAGCTCCAGCTGATGACATTGGACATATATCATTTCATTCCGGGTTGGGATCAAAGCAAAAAAGTGAATCTCTTCAAAAGGGTATGTCATGAAGATGATGAAGACGGTCTCATCGAAGTCATACTCCACGGAAAGAAGGGCGAACCCCGGCAAGTTATACCGGAGAAAGAGGCCAGAAAACGGGAAAGCATGCCCACGATAACTTAGGTTACTGTTTCAACATTCACGGGTCGGGGAGAGATGATGATTTATTCTCAAGCTATGGAACAAAAACCAGAATGGTTTTGGAGGATTTCTCGCTTCGGGTGTTATCAAAAGAAGCACAAGAGAGAGACTCATCATCTTCTTCTTCGCAGGTGCCATTACTAACAATGCATGATCAGGTTCCAAACTCAGTTCAGTAGCTTGATCTGGTTGGTGATTCTTTGATTTATGCAGTCTCTCTCTCTCTCTCTGGGTTTCCTTAGTGTACTGTATTTTGTAAAATGCTATTTCTTTTTGGGTGGCAAGGTCAGAGGGTATTCAACGTTACTTTTCTTGCAAGTAAAGTAAAAGAGGGAAGATCATTCATCATTTCCTTTGTGTATTTTTTTTTAATCTCTCATCTCTTTATTGCTATTTTGGTATATTATCGCATATTTCACTTCAAATATATGATTTATCAATTCGCTTAGATTTTATTTTTTTACACAGTTTGGATGGCTTGTCTGTAAAGTTCTTCCTCCTTTCATGGTGGAGGTTGCAAAATAAGTACTGCTTGTAATGTTCCTATTTAATAATAATAATAATAATAATGGAATTTAATAAAATGGAAAAAGGATGAGGGAAAGCGAGGGAAAACGTGGCAAGTTAAGTGGCTCATGTTACTTCACTGTCTGAAAACACAAACATAAAGGTTGTGTGGTCTTCCTTTCTCCTCTTCCCTTTGTCTCTTTTCCCCTCTCCTTGTTCCGATGCGTCAACTTCCTCCTTCCATCCATTTCTTATTCTTTGATTTCTCGAAATTTTTTCACAGATTTTGCAAAACTCATTTTCTTGAAATCCCTTTCCCATTATCCATATCCACAACCAACCAAAAGCTTCCCGTTGACATGTCATATATACGCGCATCGGAAATATATTTCTGGGATTAATCCAATATTTGTGTGGAACCAATGGAAGGAATGCGTCTTGGCTTCTAATATTTACATTGCATGAGAAGTACTGGTATTTGATTTTTTTTTTCAGGGAGAAGCTTGAATAGAGTTCAACAATGGTGGGTGGCATAGTTGGCAGCAACATGGCTACTGATGCGAGACTACTAAGTTCCAATTTTGGCAACATTTTCGGCATCAACTCCCGAATCCCGAGGTGGGTTTCAGGCGATCGATCCCAATTCACAATCCCTAGGGCTCAATCTTCTCCTCCTCCGTCGTCTTCCTCGTCCTCCAATAAGGACCGTCGCGGAAAGAGGAACAGGACCAGACCCGGAACCGCCACAAAATCAGGGGAAGAAGACACGACGGTGGAGGAGAAACAGGACGCGGCGGCTCCGTCGCCGGCTCCCCCGCAACTGAACCTGGATGATGTGAATCCGGTGGGTCTGGGACGGCGATCTCGTCAGATTTTTGACGAAGTATGGCGAAAATTCTCCGGGTTGGGTCAGATTTCGAGAACGACAAGACCCGATGATCAGGAGGTGTTCGACAGTTTGCTCATAAGGGAAGGACCCATGTGCGAATTCGCCGTCCCCGGAGCTCAAAACGTCACCGTTTTAGTCGTCGGAGCCACCAGTCGCATCGGCCGTATCGTCGTCCGTAAACTCATGCTCCGTGGCTACACTGTCAAGGTTTCGTCTTTACTCAATGTTTACAGAATTGAATCATTCCAACTTGCATTGTTCATGCATTCCTATGATTCTTACCGATTTCGCTACAGAGTTTGGCATTTGCGGCTATGGTTATAAACGTGGTTGGATTTGTGTAGGCTCTGGTAAGAAAAGCAGATGAGGAAGTGATGAGTATGTTGCCGAGGTCAGTGGAGGTTGTGGTCGGGGACGTGGGTGAACCATCCACGCTTAAATCCGCCATTGAAGGATGTAATAAGATCATCTACTGTGCCACTGCTCGGTCCACTGTCACTGCTGACCTTGTCCGTGTTGATCATCAAGGCGTTTACAACCTTACGAAAGCATTTCAGGTGAAAAGCTTTTTGTTACATTCAAATCCAGAAACTTTGGTTTGGCCCGGTTAAGTTGAAACTATATATAGTGACCTGAAACTTATATGATTCCATTACTGATCTTGTAAAGATCTGTTTGTGATTCTCAAATGTGTTGCATGCTCCTCTGTCTGTTAGCTTTTCGTTGAGCATGTTTTTTTAAGTGTTGAAAATCTTGCAGGATTACAATAATAGAATGGCGCAACTACGGGCGGGTAAAAGCAGTAAGAGCAAGCTTCTGCTCGCAAAGTTCAAATCAGCCGAGTCGCTTGACGGGTGGGAAGTCCGGCAAGGAACTTATTTCCAAGATACCGTTGCTTCCAAATATGATGGTGGAATGGATGCTAAGTTTGAGTTTACAGAATCAGGGCAGGCCCTTTTCTCAGGTAAATTATCTTATGAACTGATCATGGCCCGAGATTTCTCGAAAAGAAATCTGGTTCTTTTACATTGTTTCTAGGTACATAAAATACAGAAGGATCAATGTGTACTGATTATGGCCCGGGATTTCTTGGTTTTGATTGCAGGTTATGTCTTCACTAGAGGAGGATACATTGAATTGTCGAAAAAGCTCTCTTTTCCCCTCGGAAGCACTCTCGACAGGTACTGTGTGGAATCTATGTATTGTTAACGGAAGTTTAGATACGTAGTTTCATACAAAACTACGGGTTTAGATATGTATTTTCTTTGCTTTTCTTTGTGTGTGTTTTTTTTTGCGGATACTTATGGTACAAAGCTTGATACTTTTGAGGGATAGGTATGAAGGTTTAGTCCTCTCTGTTGGTGGGAATGGAAGATCTTATGTCTTAATCCTTGAAGCCGGCCCCTCAGCAGATATGTCTCAGAGCAAACTGTATTTCGCAAGGATCAGCACGAAAGCAGGATTTTGTCGGGTATGAAAAGACGTCTGGCCAAACAATGCACTCGCCTCTACATATATCATATTGATCGCTATTTCGCTTACTTTTTCCTTGGCTGAAAACCTCAATTCTTTGCAGGTAAGAGTACCCTTTTCGGCTTTTCGGCCCGTTAAACCTGATGATCCACCATTAGATCCATTTCTTGTTCACACGTTGACAATACGCTTTGAGCCTCGAAGACAGGTTTGTTCACTCTTTTCAGTGGCTTGTTTAGTTTGATTGTAACTGGAAATACTCGTTCCTCGGGTTCAGAAGTTTATCAATTCTGTTAGTTTTCCTTTTCCAGAGGCCCATTGAAGGACCTGCGGGTGCTAAACAAGATCTTAGAAGCTTTTCCCTCTTTTTAGAGTACGTAAAAGCTTTACCGGTGAGTAATTTTTCCTCCTTTTTTTTATAAAAACTGTGGCCATTTGGTGAAGAGAAAGAGGAAAGGTCCAAATCAGTATCCAGTTTATGAGGAAAGGTACAAATCCGTATCGAATTTATGCAGACGGGTCAGGAAACCGATTTTGTTTTGGTATCGTGCACTGGATCCGGAGTAGAACCGAACAGAAGGGAGCAAGTTCTAAAAGCCAAGAGGGTAAGTTTTTCTACTTCTTCCTCTCTGTAAACCCTGAAAGAATCATAATCACCTAGGAAAGTAGTAGAAAGATTATTTTGCAGACACAATTTGATTATGGGATCTGAGATTCGATTTTCCGTTCCTTCAGGCCGGGGAAGATTCTCTGAGAAGATCGGGACTCGGCTACACGATCATTCGACCAGGTCCCTTGAAGGTGAGGATAATAAACATGCATTCGTATTCGTCCAGGACATGAAGAAGTTCAACTGTGAAACTGGAAAATTGATTACATTACCAAATGATGTTCTTACAGGAGGAGCCAGGAGGACAGCGAGCTCTAATCTTCGATCAAGGAAACCGGATTTCTCAGGTGGGTTCATGACCAAATCTCCTAAAATTCATGTTACCGTAGGAATCTCAGTCTGATTCCGACAAATCTAATGCATGTTCTTGGTTTTTTTCAGGGCATTAGCTGTGCAGATGTGGCTGATATATGCGTGAAAGCATTGCATGACTCGACAGCGAGAAACAAGAGCTTCGACGTGAGTTTCCGAGAAAAACGTTTTCCTCCCTCTGTTTGGCTGCCGAGAAAATTTGCATCAACCCAGACATGAAAATTTACCCTAACGAAAGGATCGGACTTTTATTTCCAGGTTTGCCACGAGTACGTTGCTGAGCAAGGAAGAGAGCTCTACGAACTGGTAACAGAAAAAACCGCTTGTTCTTGGATTCGATTCGATTCGGTTTTAAGTTCTTTTCATCATCTTCTGATCATTTTCGATTCGGGTTTTTTTGTTTCTGTGTTTTTTTAATGCAAAGGTTGCTCATTTGCCGGACAAGGCGAACAACTATCTCACTCCCGCGCTGTCCGTCCTCGAGAAAAATACATGACCACTATACACACTTCGTGTGTTTCTTCATCCATGTTCGTATCTTTCCTATACACACATATATTCTTATATCACTTGATGAGACTATACAGTTTTTTTGGTTTGAAATATGAATTGTATTAATAAACAATTTCCTTGTGATTTTTATATAAACGGAAACTATATTTGTTTGATTGATTGATAAAGAATTTCTTCTTCTTTTTGGGGTCGCTCGAAGATCAAAATTAGTGTTACAAAACAGAGAATCTTGTTTCCCAGGTCTGTTTGTTTCCCGGGAAAATGGTGGCTGGCGGGAACATTATTAGGTGGAAGATGGACACGTGTGTCTTTCTTGTACCGACACGTGTTAAGTTTAATCTCATTAAAGCCCTATTGGGTCAAGAAATGGCCCATCAGGTGATATATTGAGCCTTGTAGTAAGTAATGGGCTCTTTGACTTGAACCGCCCCGAGCAGCGGTATTTTTAAAAGTTAAATCCATTATTTTAATTGGATAACTTTGCGTATTTTTTTAAGGGAAAATTTAAAAATTTGTATAATAATTTGACGGTAGATATAATTATTGAAAAATGAAATATGGAAATTAAATTAGAAAGAAAGAACAAAAGATAAAAGAACGGAAACACTTTTATTACTACATCTCTTCTTCTTGTTATATTACAATGAAAATATTCCATACATTTATAGGAAAAGCTATGGAAAAAAACAAGGAAATAAAGATACGAAAGAAATAAATAAGACAAAATATAATTGATACGATATATATTTTATTCTTAATTGATATAATGCTTTTAATTATTATTAATCATATCAAATCTCCATATTTTCTTCCTATTTCAACATTCCCCTCAATATTGATTTTGAGAGAATTCAAAAATCAATCTTGAAGATAAAACAAAATGATGAAAAACTTCACTGATTTTAGAACAATCCATAGACACCAAATTTCATTCATTTAGAGAGTACTAACTTTTTTCAAATCACTTCGCTTGACTTTAAAAATCTAGCTTTAACTCTTTTTGTCATAGCATCTTGCTTGATCTTAGAGTTTTTTAGCTTTGAATCTGGTTTTTTTACTCCTCTTTGAACGATTTGGATATTCAAAACGCAAAAGAAAGAAGATATTAGAAAATTAGAAAAAGAGAAACATATAGTTCAGATCGCAACGCTGCTCTGATACCATATTGAAAAATAAAATGCGGAAATTAAATTAGAAAGAAAGAACAAAAGATAAAAGAACGGAAACACTTTTATTGTTACATCTCTTCTTCTTGTTATATTACAATGAAAATATTCTATACATTTATAGGAAAAGCTATGGAAAGAAACAAGGAAATAAAGATACGAAAGAAATAAATAAGACAAAATATAATTGATACGATATATATTTTATTCTTAATTGATATAATGCCTTTAATTATTATCAATCATATCAAATCTCCATATTTTCTTCCTATTTCAATAATAATATGAGATATTCCTTTTATTACTAAAATGCCATCCCAGTTTTGTATTTGACTGTGGAAGTCTCTCGCGACATATCTGGCAGAAGACACGTAAGCACAACTGCTGAAATTATCAGCCCTCAGATCAGTTAGTTACACTGTTAAATCAGATTAAGAGATTTTTAAATCCTGAATTTGCGATTTCTTTTAAAGAGAAATTGTTATCCTTTGCACATCGTACACGGTTTTGATAAAAATCATAAAACTATATCGGATATGTTTGATTGATGCCAAGTGGAGCGTAAGATAAATAAGCTGCTTTATTTTATTCCTATAATTGTTGGGCAATCTCTTTCTTCTAAATTGCAATATTCTAAGGCATATAAAGTCATATATGAGGACTTTCATATATATATATATATATATATATATCTCAAATTTGGGTGATCTAATAATAAGATAATATGTAAAATATGTTCTTTATGATGAGTTCAAATCCAAACGTGGAGAGAGATATTGAGCTGAACTTCTCTGATTATCTTAGAGATGTAATTGAACCAAAAGTCCAGTTATCTTCCGGATTATAAATATATATATATATATATATATATGTTCGTTCTCGAATTCAATCTTGAATGGCTTATACGTTATCTTCTACTTACATGCTTATTCAATTACAACTGTGCTTGGGTCGTAATTTACTCGTTGGATGTGCCAAGTGTCACGTTCTTTTATATCCTTTTGGTGGATTCTGGTCAGAATATATATTTTTAGCAAATACTTTTACCATGTCAAAGATTCCCAGTTGGTTATATATTTTGTATTATTTATTTGACATATATATATATATATATATATATGTAGACCGATAAATGGTTGGTTGTATTTTGTTTATTTGAATGAAAGGGTCAACCCCCAAACATTATATAATTCTAAAACAGAATGCAATAGGGAAATGGACACGTAAACACGATTAAAGATCCAATGGAAGTAACAAGACGTGGAACCTAATATATAACTGAATATTAAATCCAAGTAGAAATATATATATGTAGTAACGAACCCAGAAAAATTTATAAGAGCGCAATAATTTTATACATATAATTTTATAGGAAAGTTTTATTTCTAGGGATATTTGATAATTTACTTATAATTTTACAAAAAATTATAAAAAATAGTTATTTTTTAGTTAATTAAACGGAGACCTATGACTCCACTCCATTTAACGTGGATCCGTTATATGTATATATAAGTATTTTCGTTTTATTGAAAACATATATGGTCTAGTATCGTGGCTATAATTAGTATGGAATTTGACCCAGAGTAAGCAATTATTAAGAAGTCGTGCATACCTAATATAGTATATACGATTTCCCGTAGTTTCCATAAATATATATTGCCGACTTTGAAAGCTTCTTGTGCATGTACAGCCCAATAGTAGTGGAAATTAACATTCTCTTCAGTAAAATCATATATATATATATATATAAAACCAAATTTTGACCTAATAATTGTATTGGTATGATTTTTTAAAACCTAATTAAATACGGATTAAAAAATCGAATCGAGAATCAACATATCTTCCATGAGATAAAAAAATCGAATGAATTTAGTTTTTTCTAAACTTTTAAAAACCCAAAATATTAAAACCCAAACCAAACCTAAACAAAAATCCACCCTTATGTCACCTAAAGTATCCCTATAAATTCTCCTCCATTCAATCTCTCCGCCACCTCTCTCTCTCTCTCTCTCTCTCTAAAACCAACGCTGACATGGGTGGTGCGACCGGAGACGTGGTGGCTGCAGCCCTACCGATCCAAGAGCATTGGCTGCCGCTCTCTAACCTTGACCTCCTCTTGCCACCGCTCGACGTGAACGTTTGCTTGTTCTACAAGAAACCGCCTCACGACGTCACTAAGAAAGAAAGCTTCATCTCCATAGCCAAAACCCTAAAGGAGGCCTTGGCCGAGGCTCTCGTCACTTTCTACGCCTTCGCCGGCGAAGTAGTGACCAGTCCTGCCGGCGAACCCGAGCTCCTCTGCAACAACCGTGGAGTCGATTTCGTCGAGGGCTTTGCTGACATGGCACTCCGGGAGCTCAACTTCTATGATCCCGATGAGAGTATTGCTATGTTTGTTCCCAAGAAGCGTCGTGGGGTCATTTCCGTTCAGGTAAAAGTTATATGCCAAAATAAAAATAAAAATTGTGTTAATGTGAAAGATAACATCGAACGTGGATAAATAACCATCCTAACTATATTATTGCAATAACGTAATCGTGAATAACATTCAGACTATGGATAGTTGGACCGACAAAACCAAAATGAAGGTGCAAAGCCACGTAGGATACTAGTGAATTCTTGGGGTATCCAATTAATGGAAGCATTCGATCATATTCGGACCGTTAAATTCGACTACATATCATTAAATAATTTAAACTGTGAAATTCGTATGATAATCGGCAAAAGAAAAAGCAAAACAAGCCGTTTTTAACATAATAATTTACACGGTAGATATAGTTTACGTACAAATTATTATAAATTAATAACAATTGTCGTCTAAGGGATGAACCCTAAAAATAGAAGTTAAAGAGTCAATTTTCCATGAGTCAACAGTTTGAAATTAGGAGGTTTTTACGTATTAATCCTTCGAGTTAGTAGTGAAATGATTATAGAGATTAGTAGGTTGGCTAGTGCATTCGCTGTTTCCAATAGGTTACGTACAAATATTTAAATATGACAATATAAAATTATTTATAGGTACTGTCCGAAAAGGGAAGATCCTTGTCGCGTGTCCGGGACACGTCCGTATATTATTATTCTATTGGGCTATGAATATGCTTCCCAACGAATATATATGGTAACGTGTAATACCATGCAAACAAAAAAAAAATTTAAATAAAAAAACTTACAAATTAAGGCTGCCGTATGTGGGAAAAAAGTTTGAAAGGGTTTTTCGAGTGTTGCTGCATGAAATCAAATGAACGGTGGAGCGAGACTAAATATTCATCATATGGTGTCTTTATATAAAAATATTGGTTGGTCCAAAAATCTCGATATAAAAACAGAACTTCAGTTGAAACGTTTATTAATCACGGGCTAGAATTTTATAAATGATATTAATCAATCTATCATATATTTTCAGAACCCAAAGAATACAATTATGTTTTTTGTAATATATATATATTTTTTTGTTTCTGTTTCGTTCTTAAAATAAAAGTGTTCTCAAAGGTAACTGAGCTGAAGTGTGGGAGCATAGCCGTGGGGTTGACATTTGATCATCGCGTGGCGGATGCTTACTCGACGAACATGTTTCTCGTGTCCTGGTCTCAGATTTCTCGATCTGAACCGATCTCTTTGGTCCCATCTTTCCGGAGATCGCTGCTTAACCCTAGACGACCTTTGCTCGTCGACTCCTCGATAGATCGACTCTTCATTCCCCTTACTTCCCTGCCTCCTCCTCAAGAAACTTGCGACCAAGATCACGCTCTTACGAGCCGTATTTATTACATCGAATCCGATGTGTTGGACGATCTCCAGAGAATGGCCAGTTCGGGCAGTTGTACTAGGAGGACTAAGATCGAATCCTTCAGTGCTTTTCTATGGAAACTCCTGGCGAAACACGCAGGAAACGATCAGAGCACGATCATATCGAAACTTGGAGTGGTTGTCGATGGAAGGAGAAGACTTGCGGGCCAAGAAACTGGTGAGAAAGAAAATGTGATGGAGACATATTTCGGGAATGTTCTCTCGGTTCCGTTTGGCGGGCAGAGAATCAGCGACTTGATCGAAAAGCCACTGTCTTGGGTCGCGGATGAGGTTCACGAGTTCTTGAAAGAAGCGACGACGAAAGACCATTTCTTGAATCTGATCGATTGGGTCGAAACTCACCGACCGGTACCCGCGGTGGCTGCCGTCTACTGCACCGGTCCGAATGAGGGGCCGGCGTTTGTGGTCTCCTCCGGGAGAGGTTTTCCCGTGACCGGAGTGGATTTCGGGTGGGGCCCACCGGTTTTCGGATCGTACCATTTCCCGTGGGGCGGTCGGACCGGCTACGTCATGCCGACGCCGAGCCCGACCGGGAACGGAGACTGGATCGTTTACTTGCATCTCAAGAAAGGACAGTTGAAGTTCGTCGAGGAAGAGGCTCCTCACGTGTTTAAGCCCATTAACAGTGATTATCTCAACATAAACTCCGCCGATTAATTAAAGATTACTTAATAATATTTTACCAAAAAAAAAAAGATTACTTAATAATTTGAAGTGTTTCATTACAGCATTAAAACACGCGTGTTCTCTCTTGTTTTTTTTTTTGCCCTCGTATTGTGTACCATTTCTATTTCTCTTCAGGCTGATTGTTTCTTTGTCTCTTTGTACGTTAATGGCCATTAAAAAGGAAGTCATTTTTGTATCCGGTTTCGTTTGGTCATGTCCGGTTTGCTTCGGTTTGGTTTGGTAACATGTGTATATGGCGGGTTTTGGTTAGTTGGTTGCTCGACTTGTGTTTGATAAGTCGTTTGGTTTGATTTGTGCTAATCCCAGGGTAGATTAGAGAGTAAAACAGGTTAATTTTGTTTGGTTTGGTTAGTATTTGTTTAGAATTTATGAGTTGTACAAAAAAAATTGTATTTTATTAAAATCGATAAAAAAAAAAAAAGTTATTTAGTCCATATGGAATTCTCTACAGACTCAATATACGATATCATCTCCGACCCAAATCACATGATTACATCATATGATCTTAAACCCATTGAATATCGTATATTTATACGTGGGTGGATGGAGAATTTTATACGTTTGATTGCGTATAGTAGCGATCCAAATATCTCCCACGGGACAGATGATTGGATGTACAGCTCAATTTCAAACTTTTTTTTTAATTAAAAATTCCATTTTGAAATTGTTATTGTTTTCGTCATTTCGTTCCGACAGACATCTGGCCTCATGGACATAAAATACATCCGGTTTATTAACCTCGCAAGTAGACTTTAAAAAAAAATGATTCCCTTGATCACTTCATGAAGATGATCAAGTAAACGAGAATATGTTTTTATATTTCTAATCACGTATTAATAAATACGTTACCATTAAAATTGTGTATTATTAAAATAGATTTTCGATCTAACTATATTTTTAAATCGAAAAAATTTAGATGAATATCCGTAGGTGAGTTTGATGCATGAAGGAAGGTGAAAATGATTCCAATAAATGAAAGTAACTGTCCTAAGTTGGTAAAATAAATAAACTAGAATATCGGATTAATTTATTTATTTTGAGATTCATCGTATATACTATATATAGACCACATATCGTATTCCACTGATCATTTTTTTTATTAAATAAATTTCTCAGTAGCTACTTCACCTAATTCTCTCCTATAAATTCCCCCCCCAAAGGGCATCCACATTCTCCCACATCACTAACCCCCTCTTTCTCCTCAAACACAACATATCGGCCATGGGTATTGCGGCGGAGGAATCACGTGCTTTCCACGTGACCACCGTGAGGAAAGACGTCGTCACGGCGCTTCTGCCGCTTCAGGAGCATTGGCTGGCGCTCTCGAACCTCGACCCCCTCCTCCCGCCACTCGCCGTTAGCGTTTGCTTC